CACGGCCATTAGGCGGCAATGGCATCTAGTTGAGAAACCTTGGTATGCCCGTGAAGGGGTTGTTGTGCCGCATAACATGTCGTGAATACGCCTTTGCGGTAGCCTCGCCTCCTCCTCCCTACTTGTTTCATCGAAGTGTGCTTCATGGTAGTCATTTAACATGTCTCCCACTCCGCATCATCATCATATTCCTCGGCGCGTTGTCTCAAGACCTCGCCTCCCACGATCGGCTTCACCATGGTAGGTCCACCGGTGTAGTCCGGACGTAAACCGCTTCTTCACAAGATGTTTGCCCATGTCTAGCTTGGTTTGTCGGGACGCATGTTTCCACATTTGCTACATGGACACCAAGTCGATCTAGCTCCTTTGACAATTGCAAACGCCTGCTCCAAGAAAGCATCCGCCTTGTCAATCCATTCATTGGTCAACTAATTACGACTAGAGCGCCCGTGTACATCCACTCACGGTCATCCATCCTCTAGCATATCAAATTAGTAATATATAAAATCACGCTGCATCTACATCGCCCTATAATGTCTATTAGATAAAGATAGGTCCTATCCCACCCGAGATTTGTAGTGGGTTTAGTTTACATGCTTACTCGATCCAAGATATTTTGGCAGACACCTCCCGCTGTTCTCCAAATACACGTCCCGAAGGGAGATTGTGTATTCGGAGAACAACAGGAGGTGCTGCCAAACTCTATCTCGGATCGTAGTAGACCATGGAAACTAAACCCGCTACACATCCTCGGTCTGTCCAAAAATTGTGGATAATTCAAATGTATATGCTTATAGATATACAAAATTTGCATATTTCCAACCGTATTCTTTCGAACGGGAGACGCTTAACTAGGTTACGTGATATATGAACATCAAACGAAAAGAGAGGTGTATGATGCCTCACCTTGCTATCCGGCAAAGTGACGAGTCAAGGACAGTCCTTGTGAGTCTCTCCCGCAACAAAATGAACATAGTAGTGTCAAGTCGAATTTTGGCAGCACCTCCCTGCACGGGAGGTTTCCAAACCCAGATCAAATATAACGCACGATGGCCGACAAACACATCCACACTCAACAGTAACGGCACGATGGCCGACAACCACATATAGCTCACAAGAAAGCAAATAATTCATGGTTTATCCTTTTCTAATTTCTAAAAAAAGTCATATCACCTCTATAGACATCCTACTAACTCTCAATCTTCTCTAAAAAAGTCCATTTCTATCACTTTCTAATTTCTTTTCTAATTTCTAATTCATCCTACCTTTTTCTAATTTCTAAAAACGACAATCGATAGTGGCCATACTAGGCTACTTTCGAAAGATGTTTCAGGTTTAACCTACAACATTTTAGTGCTCCAACCTCACGAAACAGCAAAAGGGCCTAAACAACGATCCTGGACATACAAGACTGCAGATAACGATATTTCAGGTTTTCCCCACATAATATTGCACAAACCAAATTGCAGGAAAGGTTTAAGGGAAGTGTGTGGAAGTGTATGTGGAAGGGAAGCAGGTGTAGAGAGGATGCATTAGTTTGATGATTTGTTAAAACTGAGGCTGGGAACTTGGCCTCTGATTGAATAAATCTTATATAATTATTATATATATAAGCAAGTTGTTTCTACTTTCTGTAACAAAAACCTAATCTGTGTAGAACTCAAGAAATTTGCTAATACTGAACTCTCGCTGTTTTACAAACTAGTAAAACCCTTCTGGACTCAGAAAAGGTACACATTCAACCTAATGTCAATATTTTATAAGTTTCTCAGAACTTTAAACAGACAAATCAACTTTTGAGTAAAACTTTCCACTTTTTAACCCAACTTTTGGAGTCAGAAAGGGATACATTCAACTTTATTTAATTTTTTATAAGTTTCTCAGAATTTCAAACATTGTTAGACAAATCAGACTTTTGACTTTGAATTTTAAGCTTTCCACTTTGTAACCCAACTAGTGAAACTTCTCAGTACTGTACATTATCTCCAGTCATCATTCAAAATTGATGGCCACATAGTCATCATTCAAAATTGATGACCACAGTAGATGTGGTTTAAAATGGATCGGCACAGTAGATGTGAATTGTCTTCTTTCTTTCTTTCCTTTTTTTTTTTGCTAGTTCTTTCTCACTTAAAAAGCCCCAAACCATAAGAGAAGAAATCTTCACAGTTTTCCATAAGAGGAGAAATCTTCACAGTTTTGTCTGCATTCACGTGTCTATCAGTCTATGTATCAGGTACAGAAAACAAGTGTGTGTTCTTAGAAACAAGAGAAAAAAAAATGAAGCATCTCTAAAAGTAAGCCCTTTAACTGGCCAAACAGTGTCCTAGTTCTTTAATCACTTTCACATCAAATATTCAACCCTGGAAAGGGTTCAGCAAACAGAAAGCCAGAAACGGCTGCTCTCACAAGTCTAACCACCAAACAAGAATGCAGTGTAGCTATCGGCCTATCGATCGGCAGAAATTCATGTATTGAAAATCAAGAACCAATCCAGCAGCTAGTGGGGCTCGATGGGTCAGATAACCCATCCCTGACAAGGAATTACAGGAATTTCTGGTTGGATTGCTCGAATCTACCGAAAATTCAAGGGCGGAACCGCAGGTTTTAGTAGAACAGGGAATATAATTTCAATCCGAGCAAGCAACGTTAGGGCTTCCTTACCAAAGAATGACGAGAAGGTGAGGACGAATTCGACTCGATTCGTTTGATTCCCGCCCGCTCGGTGGCCTCGCCGCCCGGGCGCCGGTGTGTGGGGGTGGTGGCGCCGCTGGGTGGAGCCGCCCATGGCGTGGCGCGCCTTGCCCGGAGGGCGACGCCGGGGGCGCGGGCACGGCACGTGGGGGTGGCGCGCGTGGAGAGCCGCCATGGCGTGGCGCGCCAGGCCGGAGGGCGACGCCGAGGACCGGGAGGGCGCCACGGGATGGAGCGGGGTCGGGACGCCAAGGGGAGGCGGCGGCACGCCGGTGGGGGCACCGGCAGGACGGGTCGGGTGGTCACGGCGTGTGTCTATGGCGTGTGTGCGTTGTGTGCGTGTGTGTGGCGTGCGGGGTCGCGCCGGGTTAACTGTTAGGGGGTATGCCGAGTGCCCGCGATCTGGCACTCGGCATAGCCCCTTTTATTTTTTTTATTTTTTCAAAAGGTCTACTCAAGCAAGGGCTCAAGATTAAGACTTTGCCGCTGTGTTTCTATAAGACACTCGGCAAAGAGATACTTTTACCGAGTGTTATATAGAAACACTTTCGCAAATTACGCTAATATTTTATGTATACCTTTAATAGCTTCTTTTAGTAACTTTTTCCTATATATTTTGAAAAAAAAACTTGTCAAATTCACTCAAAATGCATATTTGTTTTTTCTACTAATATTATTTCATTATTTCATGCAGTTATAGCTCAAAATTAATTTATATCAACTAAAATTCTATAATTGCAATTAATAAATAAAAAATATCAAAGGGATCCAAAAAATTGTCAAAATTTGACATGAACTAATCTATGTTGTGTATTGCCTATACAAAAGTTTTTGAACTCAAACCCAATTCACATGTCACTTGGACTCTATATCTTATCGGATCCTTCTAAGTTCTACGAATTTTCTCCGGAGATGCTTCCGTTTGTAAGCATCATACGTCACAAATTGTGCGAAACATTCTCAATTTTTTACCACAGCCTCCACATATGATATCATGGCATCTTGACAAATCTCGTGATTTTCAGACTTCGTTTGGTTTTGGTAGAATTTTAAAATCATTCGGACACACGTTCGTGGTCGTGTTTCCTGAACAAAATGTTCGAAATTTCTTTTCATTTCCTGTATGAGACATCAATCCAGATTCAATGACATGAATATGATTTTTCCACTCATTTTATTCTATTATTTCAATCACTTGCAATTCAAATTTCACTTAAATCAATAAATTACTCAAAATGAAATTAATTCACTAAATATAGCAAACAGACCAAGAAATAGACCAACTTTTAACATGCAGTACCAAATGTCGTATGTGGGGAGTAGAAAAATTGTGGAGGGCCGAGGAGGGAAAAATAGTTTTGCAGTCGCCGAGTGTCTCCATAAACACTCGGCAAACCATACACTTCGCCGAGTGCCGGAATAAAACACTCGGCAAATCAATTCTTCGCCGAGTGTCTCTAACGGACACTCGGCGAAGTCCTAACGGCCGCGCCGTCGGGTAGAACGGCGCACGCACGCACGGGTCACGTGTTGGTTATTGCCGAGTGTCCCTAGAGGCCGAAAGTGTTGACACTCGCAAATATTAGATATGCCGAGTGTAATAGTATGCCGAGTGTCTTGGAGTAAACACTCGGCAAATGTGCTGTTTGCCGAGTGCCCGATATAATGCACTCGGCAAACAGAAAGCACTCGGCATTGTCACTGTTTCCCGTAGTGAGACGCCGATTTGGACTACACGCCTCACTGAGCTACCGGAGACCATCACAAAGCTGGAGAAACTTGAGCACATACGATTCTCCAATAGGGATGATTTTTGGGGTACAATGTGGACTATACCCCGGGGAATCAGCAAGATGAAGGCCCTACGCGTGTTATGTAGAGTAACTCTTGGGAACGATGACTCGATGCTGCCCAAGAGGTGGGTGAACTGGAGCAGCTGCAAGTGTTTGTCGTGTCTCTTGATGACCGCAAGGCCATTGTAGATGAGGATGTTCTAAGAAACCTTGCTCTGTCCCTAAGCAAGATGTGCTCCCTCCGGTGGCTCTGGATAGGGCACCGGAGAAGCGACGACAACAACAGCAAGCAAAAGCAGGTGGTGAACTTTCTCCACCACCTGCCCGCGCCACCACGGCTCCTTCAGACCCTCTGGATCACAGGTGACGTCGATGGGCTGCCGGGCTGGATCGGCTCACTAACTCATCTTGTCACTTTCACCATCTTGGATACAACCCTTGCTGGTGACCAGCTCTTCGGCATCCTGTGTAAGCTGCCCAACCTGAAGAGCTTGTACGTGACGTGGACGCGCCATGGCGACGGTGAGCGTGACGACGAGCTGGTTGCACGCAGCAGCCACAGATTTCCGATGCTCAGGGCGTGATACTTGGAGGTTGTCTACCCAACATATTCGGTTTGAGGGAGGATCGATGTCGACGCTGGAGACGCTGGAACTGAGGTTTGACTACAGGTCAACGCATGCGACGGAGTGGAGCATCGTTGGCATGGAGCAGCTGACGAACTTGAAGAAGGTTACGCTTGATGGTAACAAGGACAACCCTGCACTAATCCACGCGGTCGAGCTGCTAAGGGCTGACGGCAGTGGTGGTGGTAGGCTCTCTACTAGGTCCAAGAACAACGAATTCCATGCTTGCAGTGAAATATCGGTGATTGTTTCAATATCTGTTGCAAGCTTTTCCGCTTGAATTAATGTATATATCTTCACAAAATAGTACAGTGTATAATTTCCGTTGTTGGCAATGTACGTAGTATCTGAGTACAATATTCTGATTACTACAAGATGCATTAGCTCTGTCGTTGTAAAGAAATTAGTAGTAATAAAACTTTGTCACCGCACTGATGCATGTATTCTGTGTGCACAACGTGACAACGGTACGGTAGAGACGTGCACACATCAGACAACTAATAATACATAGGGATATGCGCGCCCTCTCACGACAGAGAATATGCATGTGTACATTATCCTTGGGCATTAACTATTTGCTTTGTGAACATATTATGTACGCCAATGCTAGGAAACGGGCATCCGTCCACCCGACGCTTCTGTTGGTGGGCCACGCGACACTAGCCTAACACCCTCTGCTCCTCCATTTCCAAATAAAAAATCCACTCATCTACGTACTCGTTCCTATCCGCTCACTTATCCTATCTGCTCGCCTCCCGCCTCCAACGCTCGGCCACTGGCCAAGCCAGGCGCAATGCGCGACCAACTTCGAGGCGCAGTGCTCGACGCCAACCCTACCAGGCCACTCCGGCGCGCTGCCGCCATCATCCCCCGCCGCACCTCTGTTTTTCTTCCTTCTCCTCGCCTAGGCAACCTTTGGTCCTCAGACGCAGATGGGCACATCAGCATCACTTGCATCCATCTATCACCCCTTGCCTACCCCTAACCCCATGTCTCTTTAAATCCCAATCCCCACATAAGCCCAAGGTTGACTGCTAGGCACACTGAGAGTGGGTGCATGTATGATGGCATGGTGGTGTGCAACAAATGGTAAACGGTTTTGGTTTGGGAATACCCAACATTAAAATATTGGTTCCACCACTATGAGTGTGAGTGCATGTTTACTATTGTTATGTAAGCATGATATTAATTACTAGACTTTTAATTATCAACCTAAAACTACTAGACAGTACAACAATGCTAACTTAGGCTAAATAAAACCATAAAGAGATGATTGCTAGGTTAATTCATTCAAAATGGATATCATATTTTGGATTCCTCAATATGTATTGTGATAATTCTCATGAAAAGCATTGGCAAAAACACATATTGTATGGCAGCACCATCACATCATACTATTTCTCATAAGTGATACATATTAACCCTGAATTTAAGTATGAGCTCAAATATTATTTACAACAAGATTCAGGAGCTCCACAAATTATTTAATATGGTCCAACAGCTAAGCAAACTACGAACACAACCCAACAGAACATTTCTCAAAATAACCAAACGACCACCGAGGTCATTTACCCATATTGCATCTTAATAGGGGGAAGTGTAGTATGGGTATCTGTAAGCATCACGAGCACCTCATTCAGCAGGGTGAAAGTAACTAGAGACTTGCTCCTCACCTGAAGTTTCTGCATTAAAGCTACATGAGGATGAATATTCATGGAAGATTTACTCCACACAAATATACTGAAGGATATGAATGGTAAATTTGAGTATGAAAGTTACAAGCCTGAATTTGTGCATCGAGCATAAATAATTTAATCATCAAAATATGAAAAGGACAAATGAGTTAGTATTGATCCAAAGAAAACCATGAAAATGTCATATGAGGAACAAGTGCACCTTAATAACATTGCTTAACAATTTTGAATCCATGCAATTGCACAACTAGTATCAAGAAGGAAACAGTGCATGTACCATTTATTAAATTATCATCTTTATTTATAATCATTTTGTACTGTGCTTTACTTCAACATTGAGATGGTCTTTACTGCTTGCTATAATTGCTCCGTGGTAGACATCACTCGATCTTTGGGCCCATCACAATAATATTTTCATCTATTTAGTACAATTGTTATCACTTATTCTCATTTTTTTAATAGATAGAGTTCTAATTTTTGTTTACTACCTCTAGTGTAGAACAACTTTTACTTGTGTTATTACATCACCATCATGATCTCTAACAATTTTGTACTTATTCCTTCTATAAGTTATCCATGTCTCAAGCAACATGATTTTATTTTATTTCTAGAGTTGACATAACCAGGTCTAAGTAAGGTATCACTTTCATTTTAGTTTTGTTAGGCTCCCTATATAATGACCCAGGTTTCATGGAGTGTGGACTACCAACAAGCCAAGGGAAGGTGCAAAATGATCTATCCCATGACACATTGGCATAGCCAAAACGTATACAAGATAATCCAGGAACACAAAAGGCCTAATATATGGCAATTTTAACTTTTTCATAATAGTACATTTTGGTAATTTATATGTAGATTTGAATGGATATTTTGGTTTATTTTTTGTAATGGCAGAAGCACTAAGGTTTTATGCACATTTATAGGGTTACTTAAATTATTTATCACAATGACAATGCCAGTGATTTATGCAAATTTTAGGAGCTACTTTAGTTTGTATTTCATAATGGTAGGGTTATTACGTTATGTTGTTTTTCATAATATATCATAGAATAGATGCAATGACTATTATTATAAATAATTATTAGAGTTCGTTGAATGGATAATCAGATCTTTCTCCGCCTTCCTCAATACCACCTATGCGTACGTCGATGGGTGTGACCCGGTCGACTAGGTGCTTATTAACAACTTCCATGCGTTCATCGCTGATGTTGCTGGTGAGCACAAGGTTCTAGAGATGGTTTGAGTCAAAGCGAATGTGCTTCCTATCGATATCTCTCTCCTCCCTGTCCCTATCTCACTCATACAAATTTAGCTATGGGTTTTTTTTTGGAGGTGCTCGATCCAGAGTAGATCCTCTTGCTCTCTAAGGACCCGCTGGTCGTGAGCCCACCACCCGATGGTGTGCTGCATGATAAAGAGCAGAAGCAAGGTGAGGAGGACCAGTGGTAGCTGTGGTCTAAAGCTCCACGGTGGCTACTTGATTAATAGAGACAGACATTTGGATTGTATCTGGCGTTTTGTATTAATACAGACCCCTTGTTAGGGGTGCTGTTTGGACCCACCTGCTAATAGATGGTTAGATAGTGATTCGAAGGTGCATATGAACTATAACAACTTTTAGCAACTCTAAACCTACTAATAGAACTAATAGTTAGCGGCGCTAGTTGGAACTCGAATCCATGGCGATCTTTGTACGCCGAGAGTCTCCATTGTGAGTAGCAGGCGTTCTGCCCGTTTTCCCTTCTCCTGAAGCTCTCCATCCTCTCAAGTTTCCGGCCCCCTCCCTTACCTCCGGCGACAAGCTCGACGCCGGCCGAGGGAGGTGGGCTGGCCCCTAGCTTCCTCTAGTAGTTAACCCTGTACTCCGGCAGTGGCTTCCTCTGGTCTGACGAGGCGAGTGCCAGAATAAAAGCCCATTATCTTCGCATATCATCATCCTTCTGTGCTCAGTGTATGCCGGGGCGGCATGGCGTCGTCCTTGTGTTTGGCGCGGCGCAGCGCAACTCCAACTCCAACTGCTGGGAATGCCGGTGCAGCGCGACTCCAACTCCAACTCCCGGATTCGTCGGTCATGTCCTGTCTGCTCGAGCTTGGCGCAGGTGTCCACGGCATCTGGCGTAGATGCCCAGGCACACGCAGTGCTTCTTGAAGGCCGCTGCTGATCCGGTTCTGCCTGGTGTTGGCCACCACTTCTCCGTCGCGACGCCCACCTGCGGCCGGCGCCGAGGTGGCTGCAGGGGCGATCTCCTGCTTGGTGGTCCTTGTGCTTCCTGGAGTCTTGCCGCGACTGTCCGTGGCCTCAGTGCGCGCGATCCATCGTCACGGTCAGGCTCGCGGGGTTCGCGTTCCTGGCGGCCGCCTGGTTATCCTGGTGGTCGTCGTGGTCGTCGCTCCGACGCGGCGGAGCTTGCATCGCCGGCAAGTGCACACAGGAGCTTCTTCGGAAGAGCATTCAATACGTGCGGGACCAGCCGTGGCCATGCTTGGTCAACATTTGAAGGTTGCGGTGCTCCTGCACAACCGCCTCCTGCATCAGCGGGACCCTCCATGGCCTTGCGTGTCCGTTCTGCATGTTGCACACGCAATCAAGGCCTTGGAGCTCCTCCACGAACACATCATGGGGCCCTCCACACGTTGTATCCGAGAAGCTTCATTCGCAGCGCGGCTCGCATGCAGGGCCGCTCCGTGTCCTGCTCGGTCCCTACCTGGTGACATCATGGGGCCCTCCACATGGTGTCCGGTCCCTCTGTCTTCTTTATGGTTGCCATACTGTGCATACCGAGCAATTTTATTTTATGTTCATCGTCGTGCTTTTCAGTCTTTCTGTAGACATGGAGGTGGGAAAGTAATTATTGGTTTTCGGGTTTGACAGTCAACGATCGTTGATGCAGGTTCTCAGATTTAACACCGATGACTGTGGAATCATTTTCTTGAGCACGGTGAAGGCTACTCCTTATCTACGGTTCAAGAATATTTATCCTTTAGGACACAAGCCAGATCAGACAGAGGGGAGCGCCGGCTGTGCTATCAGAGTGCGAGAACGAGGACCGTCGATGCTTCTATCGTGGGCACTTCTCATGGGCCCTGTGGCCCTGATGGAGCCCATGCCTCCGATGAAAGCATCACCTATGTCTACATAAGCAGATCAGCAGTAGCTTTTACTTATCTATATTTTGTAATATGGGATTTTTCCCCACACTGGTGTAGTGTGCTTTAACGTTATATATTTAAGTTGTCGTTGTCAAAAAATAGTTAGCAGCCCTCGAACTAATAATTAGCAGGTCTATTTGGATCCATTAATACTAATTTTAGTTGCTAATGATCCAAACAGGCCATAAGACGGGCTGCTTAACTGCCTCAGTTCATATGTTTCACCCGTCTCTAGAGTTGATTGCTGTGCTAGTGGTATATGAGCTATTCGCCTATTTGGTATGATTGCTCGTTGACAGAGTAATAAATAGACGGCTATAGATATTTGAGGCTACCACCTAGCTATGCGCACTATAACGGGCTGCTTAAAAAAACAGCTATATCTCACCGTGCTTGTCGGCCTAGCGGAAGATCGAGGGGTAGGAAGAGGCCTAAAATTTAAGGGACTATTTGATCTATTAGCATTAAAAATTAGCAGCTAAAGTTTAAATAGACCTATTAAATATTAGGTGATAACTATTAGTTTTATTAGTAGCTTTGGAGTCATTAATAAGTGCTAATAGCCAGTTTATATGCACTATCAACTCATTATCCAACCATCTGTTAGCATGTGGGTCCAATCAGCCTACCTAAAAAATAGCTAGCTCTAAAATTAGTAACTATTAGCTAGCTAATTTTTAGTGCTAATAAATCAACAGACACAAGAATAAATGGAAAAGCTACTTACCGGTGCATCCGATGTCATCATCGTAGGGATTGCCCTCGAAGCCTTGCTTGCATCTGCAGAGGTAACCAGGCCCGTTGAGGGAGTCGACGCACTCGGTGTTGGGATTCTCGCAGGCGTACTCCCAGTCGCACGACGCGTCTCCCCGTCGGCCCATGGCCCAGTCCAGCCACACGGGCATGCTGCTCCGGCTGACGTCCATGCGCAGGTCGGACGCCCGGAACTCGTAGCTGTCCTTGCCGACGAGGAAGGCGATGTCGCAGGGGCTGTGCTCCATGCCGTCGTGCGGCCAGGTCTCGAAATGGACGGCGTTGTCGGTGAGGCCGGGCGGGATGTCGACGTGGCAGCAGCCGACGCTGGCACACCTGCCGTCCTTGGGGCTCCCGGGCTCGCTGCAGTAGGTGAAGCAGCCCGCGTAGTACTGGTGCTTGTAGCGGCCGCCGCGCTTCTCGCCGAAGTTCATGGTGGTGAAGGCGCCGGTGTTGCACCCGAGCACCACGAACATGTTCCGGGTGTCGGAGATGAGGAAGATGCCGTGTGACCACAGGTCCACGTGCCCGTCAGACTTTCTGACGGGGTAGCCGTTCTCCGGGTTGTAGCACTTGTAAGCCACGGGCAGCATCACCTTGGCCAACGGTGGCTCCACGGACAGGCTCAGCACCTGCATCGTATGGAAGTCCGACTGGAGCACCGCCGTGGTGCCGTTGTTGATGCAGGAGATCTCAAAGTCCTTCCCGTGGGAGCAGACGCCGCCGATGCCGAACGGGTAGGGGATGTCGACGTCGCCGCATTTGGTAGGGCATTCGGGCTCGGCCGTGGCTGCTATTGCCGCCAGAATTACCAGAGCAGGCAGCAGGGACGACGACTTCGCCGGCGGCGACATTGGTTAATTACTTGGCTTGTTCAGTGCTCAATGAGCTGATGAGATTTGGCTCTAGTTTGCACGAACCACCAATGCCATGGGTATATATCCCTCGATTAAATATATAGCTAGCCAGCAGTAAAAGGAATTTTTGCTACATATCGATGAAATCCGTTTCTTAATTCCAAAACGATGTCTACAAAGCCTGTCAGCGTCGCTGTGAGTTAACTACCCTGCTAATTAAACCCGTGCTTTTGGCATTGTACGTACGTCCCCTTTGTTTGGTTCGTACAAGCGGCGTGCAGCACAATGTTGGATTGATCGTATGGCCAATTTGCCGGCTGGCCGGCTGGGGCAAATGGCACTATCGTTCATTCGTTTGACGATAAAAAGTAACTCCCGTTTCCAAATGTATCGCTGTGAAATTATGCCCATAGACAAAAAGGGCAGAGGTTTTCCAAAGGGACTACTCCAACACATATCTAGTACTCCCTCCGTTCTAGATTATAATTCGTTTGATTTTTTACCTTAAGTTTGACCGCTCGTCTTATTCAAAAAATTTATACAAACATAGTCAAATTTAAGTCATTCTTGAAGAACTTTTGTTAATAAAGTAAACCACAACAAAAAGAAGTGATATTTAGCACAAAATTTTGAATAAGACGAGTGGTCAAACATGGAGTAAAAAAAAGTCAAATGAACTATAATTTGAAACGGATTTAGTACTACTGTACCATAACTATGTTGATGTCTTAATAAGATTATAAACAGGTACACCAGGGGAGAAAAAATTCTATGCGCCCGTAATGCACACCACCTCTATCCTGTGCAGCACCACTCAGGAGCCGTCGATATGTTGATGGGCTATGCTGTGTGCCGTGAAAACATTAGGCTGAAAGATAGGCCAAGCCCTGCATGTTGCATGCAAGGATACGAGGATGAATGAACGTACGGCAACAGAGCCGTGCTGCACGAAGGTGCTGTGAACCAGGAGTGTCACGGGTGAAGCTACCTATTCCTCCCTCCGTTCCGAGACGTCTTATAATTTGGGACGGATTTAATATATGATAGTTGGTGCACATGCATCCACGCTGCCTCACTGCAAAAAATAAATTTAATTCAGAAATAACTATCATAAATTTCTGGAAATCCAACACCCTCGGCTCAACTACATGGGAAAATATTTTTGGGACGGGGTCGTACCTGCGCCTGGTGTGACACTGCCCAGTTGATAGACACGTGTCCCAGCTTCCAATCCAAATATCATGTTTAATGGATGCAAACATACGCGGCTAAAGTTAATCTCTTAATACGAATCCTGCACCAAACCGCGGGCACCCGCTTAGGGACACGCCACCGTTAACGCCAAAACTGTTGGATCTGGCGGAAACACGATATGGACCGTTGGATCGGGTTCGTCGCGGGTCTCCAACCCATTAAGTCACGAACCCGGAAGGTCGCGATTGTTCGCGAACCCGCTCGGCGGACGACCCGTCCCCTCCCCGGCGCCGGCGCGTCTCCCTCCTCCCGCTGCTCCATCGTCCCCTGCCCTCCTCCCTTCTCCCCCCAGCACCGAGGCACGGGTTGAGCACGGCGCCGCGCTGCCTCCGTCTCCTCCTCCGCTGCTCCATCGTCTCCTGCACCTCCTCCCTTCTCCCCCGCAGGCACTGAGGTACGGGTTGAGCAGGCAACGCCGGCAGCACTTTGAGCAGGCAAATCGAGTGGGGCACGGGCGGACAGAATGGAGCGTGGGGCAGCGGCGGCAGCGCCAGCGAAATGGCGGCGCGAGAGTGCGAGACACGGCGACCTCGCCGCCGGCCCTCCACCTCCGCGTGCTTTCTGCTTTGTACGCAGCTACGGCCGCAAAGACACACCCCGCCTGTTAGCCCCAACGAGAACAGGTATGTGGCAACCATGGTAGCAGGCGCTTGCCGATCGGCACCAATCGTTCCGCCGCCTAGCTCGGTCCCCGGACTCGCCCCCGTCGGCTGCCCGCTGTGGTGCCGTTATCTTCACCTCAGAGTTCTCGCTTCTCTCCTTGGAGAGTCCTGCAATAATCTATTTTCCAAAACCTTTTATAGTTCCTTGATCTGCATTTCCATTAACAGTTAAGTACACAGCTTAGGTATTTAGTTATATCAGTTAGATCAGTGAGCTAAATATCCTTCACCAGTTCAGTTTGTTGTACAAATGGCTAGAAACCAGGTGCAGATTAGTTTCCATATGCAAAATAAAAAATTTCATTTTCTTATTATTGTGGTACTAATGCCCTTTGTGCTTTACATGTCATCATGTGTTAAAAAGCATTGCTTGTTACTATACTATTCATATATTCATATTCAGTCAAGTTCTTAGGACCCTACTATTCAAACTGAAATGTCAGAGCATCAGGCAATTCGTTATGCACCTGCTTGCTGTATATTAAACAAATCAGTTCTTTGTATGTATAATTACCTCCTAACCTGCTGTATCTCATTTATAATTTTTTTAAAATAATTTGATTGCATTTCAATCATATTATACTTCATTACCATTTTTTTGTTATTTTAATCTGCATACTTCGTTTCTAGAACCAGGCCAAATTTTTTTTTTCGCGAACATGCCATGTAGCACGATTTCATTAAGAGAAAGTAGACAATACCGAACAAAACAACAAATGGCTCAACACTAGATAACCAAATGTTGCCTAGGCGAGGAGAAGGAAGAAAAACATAAGCGAAAAACTAAAGAAAACTACGACGAAGCCCACAAGAGGGACTAAAAGCAACAACGGGCTGAGCGACAGTGAGCTAGTAAACTAGGCCATGGGCAACGATTGGGCGACGTAGAACGGGTACCCAGAGGTAGGCTAAACCTCGAGGTCAACCCCCTCCACCAGCTAGATGCCCGCAATCACGCAGCTTGCCGGGAAGAGCGTCCTGATTGCCTCGTGCTTGGACTCCAAGAGAGGCCCGCCAAATAGGGCCATGTACTCATCGAAATCGCCCTCCGCATCGGCCTGCAGCGCCTGATCCTGCTGGCGAACTTCCCATTGTGCCATCATCACGTTCTCGGCTTGCACGGTCGGGTTGGAGGCTCTGCATCTGCTCTTGGCCGCCAGCCTCCCGCTACGACGTGGCGGTGAGAATGTGCATTCAACCGCACCACGCCTCCTAGGAACACGGAGACGTGGAGGTTTGACCAAGATCGGCTCCGTGATGGCAGAGCAAAGTTGCGACTGTAGACACTGCGAGATGCCACTTGGTGACACCGGAGCTGGCGCCACAGCCGCCGCCGCGCCCATGGTCGACGAGGCCATAGGCGGGGAAGGAACTTTGGACGGCGTCCTCGCGAGGTCCGAGTGCTCCTCGTCCGAAGAAGGGGCCGAGCGAGATGGGCCAGCGAGCTCCACTTCGACACAGTTGGCCTACCAATAGGAGGAAACAGCCTCCAGATGTGCCCCCCCAGATGCTTCCCCAAGCTTGGGTCCCCCTGGGCCTCCGCAATGAAGTTCCGGGTCAAACGCGAGTATCCGGCCCACCAGCCCACACATGCTGCTCCTAGGCGAGACCGCCCTGAGCAGGTGGGGCAAGGGGCTCGGCAGAATCAACCGTGGCTTGGCGACCTTGATCCCCGAGCCGGCCAAAGTCAGCACCGTAGCCTCAAGTAGCATGGGGCCTCTCCCACCTGCTGTACTACACCAGACGTGGCCTCCCTGTAGCAAAGCTGGCGGACATCAGCAAAGCATGGAGCAACAGTGTCTGCAAGTGACAGAGCTATAGGCGCACGCTCCCAAGGCCGCGGCGATGCGACATCCAGGATCTCGCGCGGCCCACCAATCGTGACGCTTGCCCCTGTGGGCCCAGCGTTTCCCATGAACAGCGAGCAACGGACCGCCCCAATGAGAACGGATTGCCGACAGGAACTTGCCGGGCCCAGCGACGGTCCCCCGCCGCGGCCGATGCCGGCGGGCCCCGACCTGAATGTGCGCAGCGCGATGGAGCGCTCAGAGTCAGCAGAGGCGTGGGCGCGACAACCACCCGAGGAGTGCCGGCGAGACGCCCCAGCAGACAGTTCCGAGTTCGATGCCCCTCGCGCCTACAGTCGAAGCAGTGTGAAGCGTAGCGATAGTCAGCCTTGACATGGTCATCAGCCAGACAGTTGAAGCATAATCCGACGAGCTCTGGCGGCACCGGCTTAGCTAGCCGAGGCTCCGCCCTGCGGCGTGACGGCCGTGGACGTGATGATATCCCTCCGCATCGGGCACCGACGACAGGCGGGCCAGACGCACCACCACGGAGGCCAAGCGCTTGCCAGAAGCAGTTCGCTTGGACTCTCGACGGGGCGCACCCGCCGCGTCCATGACACCGTAGGTCTGTCCCGTGCGCTGGGGCTGCCAACCCACAGCGTCCGGAGCTGAGAACCGGCGACGCGAGCCCAACCGCTGGTGTGCAGGGGATGCGTTGGCCTGCTGCTGCCGACGATGCAGCGGCCATGGGCGGGGGTCCGGCAGTGCTCTGGCACCCGCCGGGTTCGGCAACCTACGCCGCGAAACGACGACGTGGTGGGCGGCGTCGACGCGGGCCCAACCGTTGGTGCGCGGGGATGCGCTGGCCTATTGTAGCCATCGTTGTAGTGGCCATGGCGGTGAGTCCGCCTGTGCTCACTACGGGATACAGAGATTTGCCGAGTGCTAGGGGCACTTTCGGCAAAGGCCCAAAGACACTCGGCAACGCTTTGCCGAGTGTTACACTCGCATACAAAGACACGGCATTGATTTGTCGGTAAATGTAGTTTGCCGAAAGTGTTTTTATCGAGCACCGGGCAACAGTTTGCCGAGTGTCAATAAACACTCGGTAAAAATAAACTCTCGGCAAAATTTTTTTGACGGGATGGAACGGTGACGTCGATTTTGCCGAGTGCACGACGGAAAACACTCGGCAAAGTTTCTCAAGTTTGTTGAGTGTCGGACGAAAACACTCGGCAAAGTTTTCAAGTTTGCCGAGTGTCGACGAAAACACTCGGCAAAGTTTCTCAAGTTTGCCGAGTGTCGATCGAAAACACTCGGCAAAGTGCCACACTATAACACTCGGCAAAGTTTAGACACATTGCCGAAAGTGCCACGCCTAAAACACTAGGCAAACAAGCGAGCAAAAAGGTCAGATTTTATGGTCACTTTGCCGAGTGTCCATTGAATACACTCGTCAAAGACCAAACACTCGCAAAGAAGGTTCCCGAGAATGACGTAAAATGGTCTCTTCGCGAGTGTTTTGCCTTGACACTCGGCAACTCCTTTCTTTGCCGAGTGTTACACTCGGCAAAGCGACCAAGGCCCCTCCCTTTTTTACTAATCTGTCACATATAACGGACCCTCTCAATTCACAAAAACCATGACAATTCACAATAAAACATCATCACAGTATAATTATATGTCACAGTATAATAAACCATCATCATAATTCACAATAAACCATCATCACAAGTCACAATAAACCATCATCACAATTTACAATAAACCATCATCACAAGTCACAACTAAGTCACAATAAGACACAATGCAAATGCAATCACTGCGTAGGCCATTGGAACCTCTGCAACAAATCTGGGTCTTGAGACTGATTATTTGATGCCGCCGATTGATTCTGCACAAAAGAGAAGTATTCGAAACAGTGTTAGCTTCCTTTTTAACAGTGTTAGACTTCATATTGCAAAGTGAATTTCAGTATCGAAAGGTGTGCATCTACAACATACTGTAATTGTAATCACAACATTCAACACTAATGCAACACTTAAATTCGTGCTATGCACACAGCAGGCTACTTGCATGTTAAAAATAAGGAATTAGCAAGCATCCACATATCTACGTGCTGCTGCCAGTTGCAACATGGTGTTAAGCACACAGCAGGCTACGTGCTGCTGCCACTCAACAAGGTCAGGGATCCCAGTGAAGGAATAACACCTGTGAATGGATTGCTACGGAGATCTAGATATTGCAAATTTGTGGCATTGGCCAGGGAAGAAAGATTACCAAGTGAGCTAGGAATCTCTCCTAAACTGTTCAGAAGGCATGCATGCTGATGGTATGGGCAATGGTACAAATCCAAAATTTCGGAACCATAATGGTATCTGCTTTGTATTTAATACCTGCTACAGTCAATGTTGCTAGCAAAATCCTGATTAGTTCACTCTAGACATGAATGTTAAAAGAATCATTAATTTTCCAAACAGGTGCTTCACCATCCGTTTCTCCAGAAAATGTGAAACATGCTGCCATGTTTGGTCTGTCAGCAGCAGCAATGAAGTCTAAGCTCTTTGCCGATCAAGAGGAACGTGAAGTTCAAAGGCCAGCTGCTACTGTAATAAATCATCAGGTTAGTATGGGTTTCGCCATCTGATTTGCATGCACAGTTGTCTCCATTTGTTGTGACTGAGTCAAGCCGTTGATTTAGGGGTGGTAGATTTCTACTGAACTGGACCATTTGTTGTTGCAGGATTGGCGCTGGACTTGTTTGAGTCCCTTCACATCTGACTTATCGTTAGATGAAAACTGGTATTAGGTTCTAGAAGTCGGCTAAGACTTTCGGGTCCCTTGATATCTGAGTTGCCTGTTTAATTAAATTAGAAAAGCAGTCTGGCACTCCTGGAACTAAGTTTTGTTTCCTAGCCTAGCTTGATAGTATATAGTATGAGTGAGCTTTTTTGCTGGATCCAAGTCAGAGTAGGGTTAAATTTTCTGGTACCAGCATGGTAGTTGTTTTGATAGACCCTTATTCACACTTACTCTAGTATGTTGTTTGCTGAGGATGGCTTATTGATATTGCAACACTCAATTTGCAGTTAAAGAGATTGGAGTTGAAGCTGAAGCAGTTTGCGGAAGTTGAGACCTTGCTCTTGAAGGAATGTGAGCAAGTAGAAAGGGTTAGACAGAGGATTTCAGCTGAACGAGTCAGGACGAGGCAGGCATGAGCCCCAGACCAGTGCAGGGGAGATGCAAAATACTTGCTCCAGTCAAAATAAATTTATATTTCGAACATGATCTTATTTCCTATGTATCCCTGAGTACTTTTTTCATTGAAAGCAGTAAAGGAGCTTGCTGACAATTTGGACAGCTTATTTAACACATTCCTAAAAGTATGTCAAATATTTTATGAGAGATATCAAGGTGTCAAGTGACTCACAGGAGTAGTTGTGGGTGGCTGAGGTGAAGGGAATAGCATCGGTGGCGGTGGCAAAGGTTGACCCATACTCGATGCAAAATTCTGCATGTATTGGAACATTTGGTCCATCCTCAACCGATTTTCTTCGTCCATCCTCTGCCGCTCGGCCTCTAACCGCTCCACCCTCGCCTCCATCTCCTCCCGTTGCTTCTTTTCTGCTTCCACCTGGGCCTAAAATATTTCATCGCAATGTTACAATGCAAAGCTAAAGTACGTAAGAGCCAACGAATGATGAATGGAAGAGAAAGAACCTGGAGAGCCTCTATCTGGAGCTGTGCAGTGGTCGGCCGTGGGCGTATCGCTGGGCTCGAGTTCATGCTCCTTGCTCGGATCTGGGAGAGAGTGGGAGTAGAGGCCGTGTCGATTACGCTGTCGCCAATCCAATACCGACCATGCTTCTTGCCTCCTCCCACCCTCGTCACGATTTCTTCGTCAATATCCTAGGAGCTCGGATCGAACTGTGGCCCGTGAACCTCCCTTGCCATCGCTGTATACTGGGTGACGCGGTTGTGGATGCTTGGATGGCTGTACGCCTCAAGCGGGTCCTCCGGGTTGAAGTCAATGTCGGCCGTCGCCTTGCCCTTTTTGGACAGAACCCATGCCTTGAGCTGGGAGCAAGACTGGCCATCATGTGACGACGACTACGGCAAAAATGCAAAATGATTAGAAATTATGTAGAATTGAGCGTTAGAATAAAGAAATGAAGTTGCGTACCCATTTTCCCCTATATTCATCAAGGCTCAGGCTGCCTTGATGGTGTGATGCACCTGGCATCTGCAAGCATCGCTCCCGGCAAGCAAGGTGGTGCTCCAACCACCCGGGCTGCAACCACTCATCCACCATCTTTTCCCAGCACCGGATATGCGCTCGGCACCACCACGGAGGCACCTACATCATCAAGCATGTGACTTATGAAAAAAGAAATTAAGCGTAATTAATCTCAAATAAAGTAAGTATCAACGTTCTTTGCTTACACTCATGAATTGGTCCTTGGTCAGGTTCATTGTCCTTGCCTCCTCTTTTTTAACCTTCATGGTTCTGTATTGAGCGTAGAACTCGATGATGGCCTGGACGCGCGCCTCGTAGTGCATGTCCTTCACGAGCTTCTTGGTGGCTTGTTCAGAGACGGACTTCGCCTTGGCCTCGAATCCATCCTGGCATCTGTAGAAGTCCTGCATATAGAGGCGATGTATAAAGTTATTATTTCAAGAATGTCCAGTGAAGGTGATGTATTGAGCAATGTAGTGCGAGGAATACTTACCCACAGCTCGCCCTTCACCTGCTCCGCTATGTTGGTGAATCTCCTGCGATCACGATCAGGGACGTCGGGGGCGGCGACATAGTGGTCCCACGTGTAGGCCAGCTGCTGCTGTCCGGCGTACGCCACCAAGCTAGGGAAGTGTTCCCTGCAAAAAAGGCCAAGGATGCCATTGACCTTGCGGTTGTGATCACCCCCACTGAGCTTAATCCAACTCCTGCACAAGTGATTAATATAAATTATTAGTTTCTTTTGTAATTTTCAACATATCAAAATTATTGCAAATATTTAAAGTTACTTACCTGGTCCCTATCGGTTTAATCAGCGGACATCTATGCTCAGGTATCGGATGCCTCGGGAGGGACGAGGGACCTCGCAACCAGATCTTGGACTGGGCATCCCCTGCCTCCTCCCCCTCCCCCTCCTGCTCCTGCTCCTGCTCCTCCTCCTCCTCCTCCTCCTCCTCCTCACCAGAGGCGTGTGCGGAAGGTACCTCCTCCTCCTCAGACGTCGGGGGGTCAGGTTCAGGCGACGGGGGCCTCGCCCTACCCTTCCGTCGACCCCTCTGCCTCGCCTCTGCCTCTGCTCCTGCTCCTGCTCCTGCTCCTGCTCCTGCTCCTCCTCCTCCTCACCCCTGCCTCGACGCCTCCTAGAACCTGACCCTGACCCAGAACCTGAACCCCTCCCTACAGCGGCAATTCTCTCGCAAATCGCCGCGAGCTTCTTCGTAGCGCCCACCATTGCTCAATGACCTACAAATAAAAAGAGTAAACCAATCAGCACAGATAAACAAAACATACTTAGAAAGATATGCAAAATTAACTTAACATACTTCAAAAATAACATGGTATGATAAATAATAAATAAATTAGTACGACTCATACATGTATTAGAAATAATCGTCATGATCGGGATTAGCTGGATCATAAGTCTCATCATCACTATCACGCGTGTCGATATAATCATGCTCGTGCTCCGAAGGAGGAATGTCGTGATCACTGTCATTGCCTAATTGTAATCGCTGAAGTAGTTCTAAGTCCTTCACATTCTAAACCTCGTCTCCAGCGTCCTCGTCAGCAACCCCTTCATTGTCTACTTCCATTTCGATCACTTCGGTTAAATCTATCACAAAACTCCCTTCGAGCCCATCTTCTTGGAAGAACTCTCTGTCATATGTGTTGGGGTCTATATTGTAATCTTCATTGTTTGGTACAAGTAGTTTACCATGTGGCGATACCTTGTACACAACATCCCAACCCTTAAGACGGCTGTCGGTTTGGCACGGGTATGACAAATAATAAACTTGCGTGGCCTGTTGAGCCATAATATAGATGTCGTCTCCTGGTAAGAAGGATGATTGTCGAATTTCGACTAGCCCAAGATTAGGGGTGCGTCTCACGACATCTGGATCAAACCAATGACATTTGAATATGACTGGATTAAGAGGTTTGCAACCATGAAAAGTTAGTTCGTATATTTCTTCAATTATTCCATAGTACTCGACCCCATCAAAGTCTGGCGTAAAAACTCCAGTATTTGTGGTTCTTCGATTGGGCCGACTCTGCTCGTGCCTTGTTGTGTGAAAGCAATATCCATTGACGTCATAACCGGTAAACGACCTGACCTTATAGGAACAACCATCGGCAACCTGTCTCAACTCGACATTCATAGACGCTTCGGTTTGGCCCTGCAAGTTCAAGCAGGGTGGTGCGTTTTATTATTTGCATGTACAAGCAACTTGTAATATCAAACTAAGTACGAGCTAAATTGAACTATACCTTCTGCTTGAACCAAGAAATGAAATCAGGCTTTCCATTTCCCGCACCCTCTTTGAGAAGGGTATCACTTTCGTGCGGGGTAGGTTTCCTTGATTTACGCCAGAATTGACGATGAAATTCCCTATACCAACAAGAAACATGCGAGTTGGACACATAAAAGCGACTACTTGAGAACAAGTTTGTTGAGAACAAGTTTGTTGAGAACTTACAGCATGTATGGCTCCACCTCGGATAGGTTGGTCAACACATACAACATGATAATGCGTCATTCTTCATGTTTCAAGGTCTTGTGGGTCGCACCACTTGCACTTCCGAGTTGCCCTCGGAAAATGCTAAGGCTCGATTCATCTCCGTTGGCATTGTAATGAGATGGTGGATTATGCACACTAGGAAGGTTGTCGGCATAGTATTTTATTGTGAAGTTTGACACCTCCTCCAGAATGTATGCCTCTGCAATGGATGCTTCAATTTTGCATTTATTTTTACATTTAGTTTGAAGAACCTTTTGACATCTCTCAATCGAATAGCACCAACAGCCCTACACAGGTCCCCCATTTGTGCTTCATACGGGAGGTGTACAATCATATGCTGCATCGGATTGAAGAAGCCGGGTGGAAAGATCTTCTCTAACTTACAGAGCAACACAGGTGCCATTTTTTCCATTTCTGCAACCACGGTACGAGATAACTCCTTGGCACAAAGCTGGCAGAAGAAATTGCTCAACTCCGCTAGCACCTGCCAGACATGCTCAGGGACATAGCCTCGAACCATCACCGGAAGTAGGCACTCAAGCAATATGTGGTAATCATGACTCTTGAGCCCGTTGACTCGCATAGTAGCTAAGTTCACTCCCCTCTTCAGATTCGTTGCATACCCATCAGGGAACATTAACGTTTGGAACCATTCTAGTACCTCCCTCCTTTGGGCCCTCATCAGGACAAAATCAGCCTTAGGCTTTCTCCACGACTTGCCGGCTCTGGGAGGCGCCATATCCAGCTTTGGTCTATCGCATAACCTCGCTTGATCCATTCTAGCCTTAATGTTATCCTTTGTCTTATCAGGAATGTCCATGATTGTACCAAAAATTGCCTCAGCGATATTCTTTTCAGTGTGCATTACATCAATGTTATGTGGAAGAAGAAGATCATCAAAATAGGGGAGGTTCCACAAGCACGACTTCTAAGTCCAAGCATGTTGCTCGCCATATCCCACAAAACCACCTTCTTGTTTATTAACCTCGAGAGCGTCTAACTGAGCACGAACCATGGCTCATGTCATCATCTGCGGTGCAGGGTCTATAACTACTACATCTTTCGTAAAGTTCTTGATGTCTAGTCTGAATGGATGGTCAGGAGGGAGGAATTGTCGATGTTTGTCGAACGAAGAATACTTGCCACCCTTCGTCAACCAAATGAACATCAGAGAAGCCTTGCATACTGGGCATGGGAACCTCCCGTGAACACACTAGCAGCAGAAAATCCCATATGCCGGCAAGTCATGCAGGGAGTACTGATACCAAACATGCATTTTGAAGTTTGTCTTTGTAGCTCGGTCGTATGTCCATACCCCTTCCTCCCAAGTACGAATCAAATCATCAATCAAAGGCTCCACATACACACTCATATTATTCCCCGGGTGTTCTGGAATTATCAATGACAAGAATATGTTCTATCGTTGAAAGAGGATGCCAGTTGGGAGATTGAGGGGGATAAC